CACTTGGAAACTGAAGAAAGCGAATGGCCTAGACTTTTGTTAAATAAGATGGAGAAAGAAGTCAGCGGGGACAAGCCAACCCCAAGGTAGAAAAGCATCCTTATGAAGATATAGGATGCACGATATGGGTATACTTTTATTTTTAAAAATATAGAATATGATAGATTTTTGATACATACATATATATTTATAAAAAATAAAAAATATTAAAAATATAATTTTAATTCAGAAAATATCCAGTCCTTTATAGTAAGATTATGTAAAAGTCCTCTAGTCCGATCCAACTCAAAACAAACTTGGTACTGTTCGGTTTGGATAAAAATTAATCTTTCAAGAATAAAAGACTAGACTCTTTTTTCGAGTTGAATTGGAGAAGACACCGAGCATCTGGATCACTTGATTTGATCCGATCCTATAAATTTCTTTCATATAATTACAATTAACATATTAATTATTATTACAATAATTTATAATAATAATTAATATTTTTTTGTGTTTTATACTTGGGAAGTTATGAATAATGAGCAAAATTTTAACATTGACCAACCTCAATCTTCTTGTTTTATTAATAAAACTAGCGTTTACCTTATTTCCTCACATGTAATACCTTTAAAGTATTAACTATTAAATTTAATTTATTAGAGTTGTTTATACAATAAAAAAATGAACTTTATGAATTCCATTTGATGTAATTATAGTGCGATTAACATATACAAAAATGTTAACAATCATGTTTGAAATTTATTGAATAAGGAAAAAATATGACGGTAACTAATAAAATTATAGAATAATATAATTCCTAAATCAGTAATTTCCACTCCACCTTTCTTATATAGTCTAAAATATTTCTAGATGCACCACATTAATTGTTATATTTTTTTGGGTTTTTTATGGTCAAATAGAAGTAACCCTAACCCATCAATGCTCTTAACTCTAGACCAAAAATCATACCATTGCTCTTAACTTAGTCTATGATACAATTCATTCAAGTTTTATTGTGCTTGATATCAACCCCCCAATATTTCAAAATAAGGATACTATTCAAGCAATCACGACAATGAATGTATGGGTCAACTAGTTAAGTAGATTTAAATAATGATAAAAATATTTTACATCTGTCTAATTTTAAATGTCATGACAAATTACAATAATCATAACTACCAAAGAAATTAATAATCCAATTAATATTGCAATGATGAAGGCGATCAAGGAACCAAAAAATAATAAGTGAACAAAGCTATTATACAATATAACTTGAATGGAAATAAAAAAAATCCATAACATGTAACATATTTATAAAAAAAAAGCATACTCTCTTAATTAAAAAATGTAAGACATTTTTTAAAAAATTTAATGTTAAAAAATATAAGACATTTTTAATCTTTAAAAATATAATCATTATTTTTTTTTTAAGTGACTCTATTCATCAATGCCTCACATTTCCATTTACAACACAACATGGGAGGCCCATCAAACATTTCCATTTAAACCTATTTTATTGACACGTTTTATTGAGGTCAGTCATGTTTTTTCCTATTTCTCAATTCATCTATCAATAGCCTCCTTCAGGCCATGTGATACAATAAATGTTCTGCCATCTCTCCATAAATCGTCAACTTTGTGGACTGGCCCTTCGTTCCTCACACCATTCCTCACCCCCATTGTTACCATCATTTTGTCCATGGCAATTCTCGATTTCAAGTTGCTCGAGGCCTTGCAGTTGACGATGTTGCAAGCAAAGATTCTTGTGAAGGTTGATTGCTCATACCCAAGGTCGGACATCCATGTCTACGATAACGGTTGTGGCCATACGAAGAAGGTGACTTCCTTCGAGATAATAGTTTTTGATCTTGCCGTAAATTATGAATATTCAAACATTAATCTTGACTTTTTTTCATTTGAGATAAGGTGCTTAATGAACCGTATAGAGGATGGTAAGACTTACTGCTTTTAGTATTTCTCAGTTATCCCCGGCGGTCTTGGCATTCACCCTTCATTTCACTTGGAGCTCAATGACGACAGAGTTATCCAAGAGTATCCTTGCGTGATGCCTGACCATTTGCTCAAGTTTGTCCCTTTAAATTGGACTAAGCATGAGTGGTGGCCTGAGTTTCGTGTTAGGGGTGATTTTCTTGAACCTAGAGCTTTCAAACATGAAAAAATGTACCTTATTGTGAGAGCATGTCCATTGAACAGACGTATGCGGATTCTTGAAGGAAGTAATATCGTGGGAGTAGATATTTGACAAGGGAATGATAACGCGGAAGTTTTAGTTTGTTGTTGAAGATAAGCATTTCTGTATTTAATTATTTCTGGGAGTTATATGGATAATATTCTCTGGGAACTGTCAAGGTAATTTTTAGTTGGTCACTTATTTCAGGGGTGATAGGATTGTTTGTTGTCTCGTCGGTGATGTGGCCATTTACGCATGGTTTATTCTTTCACTGTGCTCCCCAAAACCTGGTATTACAATAGCTGTTCAATATGCGCTAGTTATTATACAAAGGAATGGTGTAACCTCACTTGGCAACTTTGCTGGTGCAACTAAGGTTTTTTGGAACCCCAAGATCGATAGCGGTCGTTCCGACGACACCTTTATGCAAGACTTAATGGATGGTGTATAGATTGTGGCATGATGCTTGTCTCAATAGTTCTTCTTCAATCATTCTTCCTTTGTTTCCCGTTTCTAATTACAATTCTCGTCATCGTTTATTTTAAAGTTTTAATGTTTTAGACATGTTGCTCAGTATGTTCTATGTGTTTCAATATTATGGTTCTCATATTGAATGGTATATACTTGCAAGTTTAATTATTTTATGTCAGCTTCATGTTATTATGATGAACTTATTGATGCAGACACCGGACACAGTTAGCTAATGTCCATTGCTCGAATATGAAGCCAACTGAAGAGACTATCCCTTCATTACGAGTCTATTGAGTAGAAGATTGAGTTACATAGCATTATTTTAAGCGCTGCACTATAAGAATTCCTCTCTTATTATACTTTTATATTTTTGAAAAAAAAATATTAATTAAGGCTAGACCATGATGAATGAAGAATTTATTTTATACATCAGCCATAGTCTTATATTGTCCCTTTTAACATCATAATATATATCAATTTAGTTTGGGTCATATGATTCGAGTTAGATGATCAATATTTTTATGTTTTTACAATTAATCTAGAAAAGTTATCATATGGTTTGGGTTCAACTCCATTTAATGGTAGGTTAACATGTATGTGTTTTTACAATTAATTGATAAATAATTTAAAATTTAACTCATTCAATACCAAGTTTTAAAATATATTTAAGGTGGATAATTGACACAGACACCGGACACAGTTAGTTAATGTCAATTGCTCAAACAATTGCCAACTGAAGAGATTACCCCTTAATTATGACTCTATTGAGTTGAAGATTGAGTTAGAGTATTACGAGATTATCCCTAAATTTTTAACGGTAAAAAATTTTTGGTGATGAAATTTAACATATTTTTGGTGTTGATTACATTTGTTGTCATAAAAAACTATTAGCAATGAGGTTTTGGTAATCCTTTGATGGCAAAAAATTATTTTAAACTTTTGGTAGCAACAAAAGTTTTTTTTTTTTTGGTAGTGATAAGAGTTTCATAGGAGAAAATGAAGAGGTAAAAAAAATGAGTATTTACACTTTTAATATTTTTAATACCCTTCTTTGAATATCTATTGAATAAAAATACACCTCATTAAAAATTTCAATTAAAAAAAAACTTTGTAAAACAAAAAAAATAGCAAAAGAAAAAAAACACACATCATTTATTTATACATTATTCAATTATTTTTCATTACAAATCTTGTCAGGAAAATCTAATAAAATCAAATCTCAATTAAACAAAGAGTACAACAAGTATTTATTGCCCCTAGATGATGACATTACTTTTAAATAATTATTGTACTTGATATACTAATTTCTTAAATGTGGATACTGCTAATATTTTTTTCAAACGAATCTTTTTAGTTGAACTATGTATGATGCGTTTTAATCATACATATTCTGTATACATATCTTCTCAAATAAATAATGATAAGTGACTTTGAAACTTCAGGATAAAGCGTATGCAGAAGTATAATTCATGCGTACAACACTGGTTAAAATTCTCATTTCTTATGTTGCCCGAGTCACATCGTATAGTATGCTCCCACTCGATCTATAAAAGTTATCAGTTTTTTTTTTTTTTTTGCCAGAGAAAAACGTAATCAGTGAATGAAAGTAAATTAATTGATTTTTTTTTGAATGAAAGTGAATTAATATATTTATATATATTAGTTATTGTTCACTAGATATTTATACAGAATTAAAGTTTATAAATATTTCTCAATTATTTATTTTATTGTCAAAAATATCCTAAATTAATTTTATCTTGTAAATACTAGATTTCACTTTCATCTTATCACTTTATTCAATCATCTGATTTTATTTCAAGTTTTATTATATATATTACCCATTCAAGTGTCATGAATAAAAGGTCTATCTACTTAGATTCCCTGGTCAACTAGTCACAGTGACTTAATTTACAAATATCCCATAAATCCTTGATCTTTAATGATTCCAAAATTGAACAAACTATGAAATTTCCATGTGATTATCAATCATAATCATAACTTATAGGTGGCCTAACCATATAGCCGAGAATAATTAAGAGTAGAGATAGTGGAAAATCCACTGAGAATAATCTTGCATATAATCTTGTCCTTTAAGATTGCTCTTGCGTCCTCTCAACGTTCTGTTGAACACTCAACAGTCTTCCACATAACCCCTATAAATTGCCACCTTCTGGCATTCTTTTTCATCAAATAAATTTGCCAGCATTCGTGGTACAGTACTTGTTCCTCCTCTAATCCTAGCTATTTATGGATTTTGCTCACTGTTATTCTAAGATTTGCTATTTATTAGTACCATTTTTGTTTAAGATGTATAAAATGTCTGGAAGTTTCACGAATGCTTTCTACTTGTTCTCAGGTTGTTGCAGGACAAAAAAAAAAAAAAAACATGAGGACCATGCATGTACTGATGGTGGCAGTCTTGGTTTTGATCCTCGTGACTCTGAAGGTTGATGCTGATGATCATGCAACAATGAAGGAGGAGAAAGAGCCAAAACGGCAATTTCTCAGCCAAACAGCTTTTGGTCGAAAGGCCATCAAAGGTGGTATATATGTTGTAATAATGATAAAACTTTTTTATAACAAAAAAAAAAAATAAAACTTTTGATCTTTTAAATTTAGTTTAATTATCAATTTGATTCTTGAAATTTAATTTTTATTAATTAAATCTTTAAAATTTTATAATTATACATAATTAGTTATTATGATATTATTTTTTTAAAAAAATAATGGGGACTAATTATATATGATGTATAAATCTTTAGGATTTGATTGATAAATATTAAACTTCTAAGGACTGGATTGATAAATAAGATAAATTTGAGAGATCAAAAGTTTCATTACCTCCTAATTAAATTATTTGTATCACCAAGTTTTCTCCTATCAATGAGACTTGATAAATTTACGTAAGAAAAAACAGACAGATTATTTGGAAAATTAGTTTTAATCTTTTAGATCATGCCATGTGCTCTTCTAATTAATTCATAAATCCCATTCTCCTTGAAGCCATAAATCCTTAGTAGACATTGATTGAAAATAAAAATGTAAAATATATCTTTAAATATAATTGGGGACACTACTTTGATTAATAAACCTATCTAAAAATACTGTCGATGTTTTCAATAAAAAATTACAGAAAATCAAAGACTCCTTGACCAAGAGAACTGTTTTATGCTGGAGAATAATCTTGCCGTCTACACACACACACACACACACAGAGATAAATTTGTAAATATATATATTTATATATTCTCTAAGTTTAATTTCTAATTGTATAGGTCGCCGTAAGGATCAAGACGAGCTTGGTGAAAGCAAGAAGAGCTCTGCGAGTGGGTACATGACAGATTCAGAGAATGATGGAAGCGATACAATCAACAACAATGATAATAATTCTGGATTGCATCTCAATAATCATCACTATTTCACGGATCCTCGAAAATTACCTCATCGCAATTGATACGATCGAGCCAACAGAATTAATTATTTGAAGAGTTGTATGTTGTTAAATAAGAGGTTGATAAGCTCTTTTAATTATTAGATAGCAGTCTTTGAAATTCTCAAACTTGCTAACTTTATACAAAAGAGTTGAAGAATTTCAAAGTGCTTCTAATAATACTAAAAGAGTTTAACCTTGGTAAACCTCTTCATATGATTAATTGCCTTATTATAAATATGGTGTGTTGCACGCATGCAGCTAGATAGATAGATATTAAATAAAGTGGATGTAATCAGCGCGGCATGTGTGTTTGTGTTTTATAGATATAATCGCTGTAATAAGGGTGCTTCAACATGATTGTAAAGATTCCAGTGTGATCATGTGCTAATTAATTGAGGTATGAATTTGAATTTAAATTTTAGATTCAAAATCTATATATTTAAAATATTTTGTTTGGATGGTATAAAAAATATAAAATAGTAATTGAGATGATTTGAGATTTGAAGTAGAATAATGGAAGATCAAAAGTGATGAACTTATCATCATTCTTTAATTGGTGAGAGATGAGAGGAAAGGCAGGAATAACAAAGACGCCAATAATAAAAATGTATAGGAGATAAGAGGATTAGAGTATTTGAAATTTTAAATAATCAAAGCTTAGAATGAATTTAGATTTAAATCCAATTCAAACCCATATATAAACTCTTATATGTATTCAAATAAGAAACTTGATTCAAATCTCAATCCAAATTCAAATCATTACGCATCCAAACACAATATAAGTGTTTTCAATTAATATATTCACAACTGGTCAATGGCCAGCCAAGTCAACTTCTACATTGCATATCCATACGGATTTACATCAAACTAACATGTTAACCACAGGGCTTGAACTGTATGGCTTGCTGTGCAAGTCTAAAACAATCTAATTGCATCTTCTACACCAATTTTTCCAAATAAAATTACAACCAATTGAATAGGTAACCAATGGCAGAGACAAGGAGGCCACTAACTTTTTAACTTTTTTAATAAAATGTAAGAGTTACATATGTTTGGTCTGGTCAAAATATATTTTGTACGTATAATATATCTAATACTAATTACTGAACATAATATTTACTTTCGTTTTAATAAATGTAAAACTATTATACAAATATATACAAAGTTAAAAAATGTTGGCATCTAAAATGTATGTGTTATATATAAATATAATATAAAATATGGATGATTTTTAAAAAAAGTTACATCTTTTTATAGTAATTAAGCTATTGAAATTTTTTATTTTAATTGTTTTTAATCTAATATAATTTGGTCTTGTTGACATAAAGATTCTGTGAGTGTTGAGCATCATTATCATGTTGATATATTTAATACTGTTATCGATTATCAATTGAAAGAATTAAATAGTAGATTCAGTAAGCAAACAACAAAGCTTCTAAAATTGAGCATGGTTTTAGATCCTAAAAATGCATTTAATTTTTCTAATCAAGAAAAGATTTGATTGGAGTATGAATTACAACATTATGAGCTTGATGTGCCTAAAGGCCCTCATTTTCAAAACTTGAGTGCTACAAGTGAATTATGTCAAAAGTTTATAGTGATTGGAAAGTCTAATTCTTATTCTTTGATTGATAGATTACTAAGGCTTGCACTGACTCTTTCAATGTCAATAGTAACCACTAAACAAGCTTTTTCAACTATGAAAATTATAAAGACAAGGCTTCACAACAAGATGGGAGATGGGTTTCTTACCAAATTAATGATAGTTTTTATTGAGAAAGAGATCTTTAAAAAATTTCCCACAAACATTATCACTTATGATTTTAATGATATGAAAAATTAATGAATAAAACTTGAAAAAAATAAAGGTACATATCTATTTTGGTTTTATAATTTTAAAATTAATAAATATGAATATAGATAGATGTAAAAATATTTATGTTACGTTAGATTTTCTTTTTCTTCAATTATAGTATATGCGTTGACCCTTGAGATCTTAGCCCACCATACGTACAAATCCTAGCTCCGCCCTGTTAAGGTAACTTAAATGATCAATCTTCAATGTAAAATACTAAAATAAATTATATGATATAGTGATTAGGAAAATGTGACTGTATAATTGTATTATCCATAGTTATAGAATCAATGCTCCATTTTACTCATTAATTTGTCAGATACATCTTGCATATGCTCCTCTTATGAGAAAAATCACTATTTTCAAGTATTATTCAATTAAATGTAAAAAATGTCGTGTTGTGTACGTACTCAAGGAGTCAGTAAAACTAGATCAGTTTCCTATATTAGTTGCAACCTTACACGTGCAAACAAAGTGTCTTTTACATGCCTTTCACTAATATATTGAATAGCGAATATTAATATTGATATGGGCAGGAGAAATTACTTATGATTGAAAACAATTGAATCAACAGTGAAAGGCTGCAAACAAGAACTTAATTCACTACCCAAAAAAAAACTGATTAACGACATATATGAAAATTCCATCATTAATTAACCCATTTAGCAACAAAATATTTTTATTAGTAAAAATATTATCATTAATTCATTGGCGATTATTTTAATTTTATGACGGAATACATTCTATTGTTAATTTCTAGGTTGGCAAAAACACTATTGGCACGTCACTCGGTAGACCAATGTCATCTCATCATTACCTCGTCACTCAGGTGACCAATGTCATTAACATATCAAATATTATTAACTTTAATTATGTCTTAACCAAACTCAAACTCCTAACATCATACCTTCTAGTGCTTTTGTGTTCACCTTATTGTCAGTTGCATTAAAAGAAATCTTTAATCTTAATTGATGAATTAAATATAGAATATTTAATTACACACATATTAATAAATATATTATTTAAGTTTACTTATTTATCCAACATTATATTTATTTATTAATATGGTAAAATTAATTTATATATAAAAATTATTTTTATTTTATTTTATTTTAAAAAATTATTTCTCATAAGAAATTTGATATTTAATTGAAAAATATTTTATAATCATTATATATTATATTATACTCCCTCCGTTTAAAAATATAAGGTATTTTTTAAAGAGTTGGATGTTAAAATATGTAAGGTATTTTTAGTCTTTCAAAATATAATCATTGCTTTTTTTTTCTAAAAGTACCCCTATTAATAATAACTTTATATTTATTGTAGGGTATTTAATAGAGATACATATGAAAAGATAGGGTTAGTTTGAAAGTAGGTAATAATTTTATGGAGGGTGAGATTCGATTAAAAATGCCTTATATTTTTAAATGAAAGAAGTAATCTGCATCTATATAATATAATTTTTAAAATTTATAAATTTTTTATTTAATAATATTTTTTATTTTTATTTTTAAATAAGAAGAATTAAGTATATAATTTAAATTGTTATTTTTTATTAATATATGAATAATTTTAGATATTAAATTATTTACTTCTAGCATAATATTAAATTATTAAATAAATTATATATAAATAAATATTATAAATGATAAAATAAAACTTAAAATAATCTGTGATAAAATTAGCGATGAAATTATGATAGAATTTTAATAATGAAACATTTCGTCACTAAATTCCATTGTTAATTTAATGATAGAATTAACAATGAATTAGATATAGATCAGCAATGAAAATTTATTTTGCCACTAATTCACTGTTTTTATATAATGATTATTGTATCTTGGCTTGGGTTGCTGCTCCATATTTTCGTCCTTTTTCTCTTTTTGTTTTTTGATTTTTCCACCCTGCCTGCATTTTGGTTGAGATGAGATCGATGTGCATTTTAAGCATTATTATGCAGGCTCCAGCAATTAATGTTGGTAAATAAAATAAAAATAAAAATAAATTCGAATTAACGTATTTCTGATGGTGATGTTCATATTGAGTTCAAAGTAAATTACAAGTTGAAGCTGCATTTAGCAGTTATAATATTGCAATAGATGTGCGTGGGGGACGCATCATTGGTCATTCTATCTCTTATTTGCTTAACGCAAGGGTTAGTCCAAATTAGGAAAGACTAATTCTAAACGTGATGTTCAACCCACAAACAAACCCAAATTAATACATTAGAGTTGGAGATGAGCATGACAGAAAATTATAACTTTACCACCTTTTCACTTTTCTCTTTATATCTATACTTCCTCAAATTCACGATGTGTGACTTTTTTTAGAAGTACTGTTTAATTTAAAACATAATGTATCAGGTAATTTTTATATTTTTCTCTAACTTTATCCTTACCTTATTTATAATTTTTTGACAATATATTTTATTTAAAATTTCATTGATCATTATTAAAGTCTATATATATATATATATATGATACATTTAATAAAGATATAATTGAAAATATTACAATTTTTTTAAAAAAGATTAAGGTTTGAATTAATACAATATTAGGTCTTTATACTTCGATTAAGTTTTGTTTTGACTCTTTATAATTTTATTTTGTTAGTCCCTTTAATTTGATTTGTTTGCAATGTTAGGTTTTATAATTTTAAAAATATAAATGAAGATGATGAGTTGGGGCCATCAAGGTTAATTTTGTTAACGTATACTTAACTTTATTGTTGACGTGTATTTAATCTTGCATTCATCTCCACATTCTATTTAATCCAAATATACAAGAAAGCTTTTCAACCCGTTACCTATTATTGTTAATCATACTTGATCAATTTATTCCATGACAGCAGATTTTTATCATGTTAGCAAAGGGATTAGCAGAGTTATAATAAAATTAACTCATTAGTGTTAGCTTGTGGTCATCATGTATATTTTTAAAATCATGAACACTAATGTTGTAAATGAATCAAATTAAAAGGATTAAGAACAATAAAAATTGCAGAGACTAAAAACAGAATACGATTAAAGTACATGATCTACTATTATATTTTCCCAATTTTTTTTATAACTATGAATTAATTAGCAATATCCCATTTTATGAGCAGGAGAAAATATATATATCACGAGCGCTTTTGAGGTCAGCTTTATCAAAGATTTTGTGCCTGTTTGTTTTGCGTCCAAAATCGATTTTTAAGTGTTTAATCGATTTTTAAAACAAAATTGGCCAAACGACATATAATTGCCATAATCGATTAAACATGCTAAAATTGATTTTTTTTTAAAAAAAAGCAATTCATACCTGCTTTTGGTTCTCATTTTGCCATATTAATTTGTCAATAATTCATAATTGTGTTAAATAAAATTAAAAAAATTTAATATTATATATAAACTTATCAATAATTTAATTTTGTATGATAATTAATTATTGAGACAGAATCAAGTTTTGAAATAAGTTCTAAAAAGTTGCTTATAAATTTAATTTTACTATTAAATAATATATTTTGCTTTTTAAATAAAGTATAACAAATTTATTAATATTAAATACAACTTTATTAATAATTTAATTTTAAAAAGTAATGTCTTTTATGATAATTTATACAGTTAAAATTAATTTCAATATTCAAATATATTATATTATAATATAATCAATTATGATTAAAATTTATTAATGAATCAATTATTTTCATAACTTATTATATCTTATTGAAATAGAAATACAGACAGACACTTAAGCTTCTTCTCGTCTTACATATCAAGTTAAAAGAAAATTCTCCCTCTTCTTGTGACAAGCAAGATAAAATATTTAAATCATGCGGTCGTAACTTTATATTTACAAATTCTCCTTATGATAATAAAAAAGATAATTTAATGTTGGGCGCTTAGTTCCGAATCAATCCTCCTTCACTCCCTAGTTGTTCCATTTGAAAAGGTACATCGTTAATGCACAAAGTGGGCATTGAAAAGATAGACTGTAGTTTAGTTGAGGCTTGATATTAAATAAATTGATACTAGTTTTGTGGTCATAAATATATCAACGCAGAATCTGACACCATCACCAGTTGCCCCCACAATTTGGCATCATCCTGGAGCATTCATTTGGAATCGGAATATGCCTTCTCGACATCCGAAAACACCAACCGAGGATAGTGATATCCGTGTATTCTATCAACCAAGTTTTGAACTTCCAATCTAAACAAAATTATAGTATAACAAGTTTCTTACAAAGCACCAAAATGAATCCGTTCGTAGTTAAGTAATAAGTACTAAATTCAAATTGCCATCTCAGAAGGCACCGTTTGTGGTTAGACTTGGACGCGCAAAAAAATTGTCAAATAAAGTGATGGTCAAGAATTTAAAATTAAAAATATTCGATAAAGTCAAAGTTCTCTTTCTTGTAGCAATAAAGAGGCAATCATTGGAGCAAATATAAGGCTAAAAACATTGGCGAAGAAATAAGAAATCGTGGACGGCATTCATCAAAGGAAAAAACAAAAAGATCTCGTGGACGGGCGCCGACGCTGTTAGCGGTTCATTAAGATTCCATGCAAGCCTTCGAATGTGACGCCGCCGTTTCGATCTCCTCCGGCCAACATGATCATTGCATCGATGTCATCGTCGGTAACGGCGAGACTTGCCATTTCCATGAAGCTCTTCAAATCCCGGTGGCTAAGCTGGCCGTCTCCGTCCTTGTCCATCACTTTGAACATCTCCTCTAGGAACGACGTCGCCGAACTCGTAGATCCGTTCTTCTTGCCGGCGCCGCCGCTTCCCAGAACCACCCTCTCGAACTCCTCGTACTCCACAAAACCATCCTTGTTGGTGTCTGCCACCGTCATCATCGTCCCAATGACGTCGTCGTCGACGTCGGGGGCAGCCCTCCCGGCGTAGAATGCCCGTAGATCGTCGCGGCTAATCTTGCCGTCGCGGTCAGAATCAAGGACATCGAACGCTGGTCGAAAAGACGAGTGTACGGCGGATCCGGCTGCAGAGGAGGAGGAGGCGGTGGAGGGAGGAGAGAGGGAGCGGCCGGAAGGACACATGGTGGAGGGAGCTCGGGGGGTGTGATTGCGGGAATGGGAGAAAAAAGGGATTCGTGGAGTTGTGAACGCAAAAGGGGCAGAATTTTCCAACAATATAGGGGAGGGAGAGTGTGGGCCCCATAACATTGGAAGGTTCACGTGTCTTGCAGAGCACGCTGATGGGAGAGGCTAGAAAAACGTATGCCGTGATGCAATATTTATGCCAATCAACATCATTACTCAAAAAATGCATCAAAAAAGTAGTCAGTCTCGGTTTACAAATACTATATAATATAAAATATTTTTTAAAAAAATTCAATATTTAAAAATATAAATTAAATATTTTTTAGATAAAATCATTATTTTTTAAAAAAATTATTTCATATTTTTTAAATTAAAATCCTCTATTTAATAAAAATAAATATAAAAAAATAAAATTAATTTATTTTATTAAGAGTGAAATATAATTATTTCATACTTTTAAATTGAGAGAGTAAGAAGCAATTAGATAAAAAATAAATTGAATTTTTTATTTATTTTAAAAATGTAATTTTAATTTTAATTTTCTTGATCGTTTGCAATGACGGTAGTCTTTTGTGGTCAAGAAATTAATAAATGCATTGTTGTCTTATATGGCATTGAAGTGTAATTTTTCCCTGACACTAAGCACGTTTCTGATGTGGACAAGACAACACATGCATCAGCTTTCTCCGCAACTGTCAGTTTGCGTGACGCGGTTTTAATTAGACTAGTTCAAGTTCATTTTTCTGTTAAAAAAAGAAAATAGACTAGTTCATACGGAGGAGCGTTTTGGCGGGAGATGGTATAAGGTATTACGGAGGAGCGTTGTTTTAGATCGTGGCGGAGGTCGAGAACCTGATAAAGGCGAAAACGGGTTAGATAAGGAAACAAACCCACCTTTTGAGCTTACGGCTGGAATTGAGACTAAAAAGTGTGTTTATTTTTAATTTACATCTAAAAAATATAACTATTTATTAAATTTGATAAAAATATAATTTAAATATGTTTTGAGACTTACCTAGACAACTCTTAAGAAGCTTGGGAGGAAGATAAGGGCATCGAAGGCAATGGTCGTCGATGTAGACCTGCCCAGCGTCATTCAAAGACAAACTATTGTCTTGAAACACGATACTGAAGATGACATGATCCAAGCTTGGAAGTCATATTTTAATCCAAGGTTGGATTTCTCCTCAAGTGTCAGTTTGTAAGGCGCGTTTTTAACTAAACTAGTTCAAATTCAATTTTCGGTAAAAAAAAAAAAACAGTTTTTTAAATAAAGACTGAGGGACGTAACTTTATAACTAATGGATGTTCAACAAATTTTAAAATTTTAGTTCAATTATCAAGATAAAGGTAAAAATAATTTTAATTATGAAAAGATTAAAGTACTCTTTACTTGTTATATAAAATCATTAATTGTTAATTTTTTATTTCACTTATTAATTTACAAATATTACTTATAAATTATATCTACTTGTCAGACAAGCAATAACATTAATTATTAATTTGTTAACTTTACTGATTAATTTACTAATATTATTTGTAAATTACAAGAGCTGTTAGTAATAAATTAATAAGTAAAATTAATAATTTAATAATTGATATTATTTATGATTGAAAAACTGATGTCAAGTTTTATATAATTATTAACATGTCAACTCATATGACTTATATTAATAAATTAATAAGCAAAATAAAAAAATTAACTAATGATTCTAATAACAAGTTAAAATGCATTTTGTTTTTTCACAATTAAAATTTTATTTTTATCTCTGAACTGAAATTTTAAAATTTTTTAAAACTCACTAATAATTAAATCACATTCTTGATCACATTCTCAATTATATAGTTCATCTTACCACACGCGGAAAGGAAAGGGAGAGAGACTAGATTTTAATAATTATTTAACTTATTCTGAACAACTGTTAAACTTAACACGAAGAAATTTAAATCAGATTGGATTATGATTCAATTGAGTTACATCTAATCAAATAAAGTTTATTATTTAAATAAGTATGATATACTTAATATTAGTTCAATACTAACAAGTAATAATAAAATAGGAAAAAAGTACCCGGGGCCAAGGTTAACAAACACGCGCAAAGATTTGAGAAAAACGCAACGACGGTACAGCTGTTCTTTTCCTGGTAGTGGAGATTTTTTTTTTTTGGATGATACAACAAATGCAGTTGGAACAATCTTGAGCGTTGATGTAAATAATGGAAGAAGAGGATGGAGCCATGTAGAGCTCCACACATTGCATCAGATCTCAGTGCCTTTGCTTCTTCCAAGATTGTCTTCTTCTCTGCCAAGACCCTTTCTTCAAATATATGCCCAGGGCCAAGTGAAGGAGATTTGAAAGGGATGCTCGTCTCTTTACCTTATCCCCATTCTCCAAAATACATAACATTTCCATTCCTTTTCCTTATGCCACCTCTACAATGTACAACCCTGCTGCTGTATTTGTGCGTTTTTTGCTTTGTTTCTCCTGCCTCTGCCGATTTTCCCTTGTGTTCTATGAAATTTCGTATCTTTCACTAACAAAAACGGTTTAAAAGAAACGCATATACGTCCCTTAAATATTTGCTATTAAATCCTTGAGAAAATTTCAACACCTAACAAAACCTAAAATAGGAATAGGGAAGCCAGATGAAGCAGAAGACATAACCTATTCAACATTCCCCCGCAATGTGGTCCATCTATCAAAAATTGCTGTCAACATTCAATGTTGGTTTCAATATGTTTTCAGGTCAGCGGACTGGAGATGAGAAGAAAATTACAACGAAGTACACCACGAAACCAGCTATTAATATTCCTCCATAGATGTAAGTTTGAGAAGAATGAACTGCGTACTTGTACTCGATATTGCAGCATCTCATTTTCTCCCTCTCGCTAGCCAAAACATGATCAACATATCTACATATACCCAAAATATTGGAGTTACTAATGTTATAGATGAAATTAAAAAAAAAAAAATCAAATTTTGTGAAACAACACTTGTATTAAATTATTTCACAAAAGTAAACCCAAGCACACGTATCTTATGCTCTCTCACACGCACGCCTGTGTGTACTTTGCCCACTATACAAATGTATTATACAGTGGGCAAAGAAACACTTGGAATTAGCTTTCCTACTTCGACAAAACAAAGAAACGAACCATATGCTACAGAATAACTTACTGCTGGGTGAATATGGTACTCTGTAAGATGTCTGAACTGTTCAAAAAGGCATCTTGTAACCGGTGATCATATAATAATGAAGACATATCGACGAGCTGCTCCTCAAGGCCCTGGTGTATGCACGTACGTTGCAAACTATTAAGACAATTGAAACGCCAACGAAGTCAGTTCAACAGCTGAAATTAAGTACTCACATCAAGATATTTTTCCAGGCGATCAACCAATTCATGTGGAAATGGTTCAGGCACGTTAGTAGTTTTTTTGTAAAACTTCTCTAACCACAGCTCAGAGGTTGATTTCTCCCTTTTTCCCTTCACAGGTTCACCAAGAGGAGTTTTCAGATATTCTGCTGCAAAAGCTTGGACAGTCTGCACAAGATGGGATAGAATATCAATCATCAAAAATCATTTCAAGGACAAATACTAAAAAAACATAAATGAACAATAACTCACCTCAGATGTTTCACGAATTCTTCGAAGTGCAGAATCCACACGTGCATATATTGTGTTCCTCTGCCATCAAATAAATTACCAATTACTAATATAGAAAACCTAACGGTATAAACTCACTCCTACATAATACTAAATGGGTATTTACCAAGGCAACATCTCGAAGCATTTGACTGATTTGAGAAGTATTAGAGAATGGTCCAAATGGATGACAGCCAGTTGCCCAGAGCCAATTCACGACCGGTCTTTCATGTACATGAGAAGCCTTCTCATATGGCGCACTTAAACCACCAACAACTGAGGCAAGACCTGCTAATACATGTCGTTGAGCCTGGGATGGAAAAGCATGCCTTCTCTGTGTTTCTGATACATAACTATAAAACAGAACATGAAAGATTGATGCGAATTATTTTATGATAACACCAAACTATCAGGCTATAAGAAATACCTCCTCTGACCCTATTTATAAGACATCTTCTAAAAATAATTTTTGGTCCAAAATATAAGACAACTTATAATAATTAAACCACTTTTTTCAATTTTACCCCTTCTTAATTAGTGTGAAGGTATTTAATATAATTATATTATTATTCAAAGCCAAGGGTAAAAATGAAAATGCATCCCCCTTTTTTATGATATCAAGAAAAAAATCAATTTTTCTTAAAACGTGTGAAACGGTTGAAAGTGTTTTATAATAAGAATCAGAAAGAGTGCCAGAGAAGGTAAAGAATGGACTTTAAGCAGTTTCTTCTGATCAAGTAAAATAAACATAGGAAATGAGCAAGGAAAGAGTGGTATTTCTGAACTAAGAAACAATATTCTTAAGAAATCATAACACACTGCATCTGCAATATATCAGCCAAATAAAAATAGAACTGCGCTTAATTAAAAGTATCATTAAAATTAATTTAAAAAAAAAAAAGTGGCTTGCATGGGCTTATGTGGACAAGCTTTAAGTATCATTAAAATTAATTTATTCATTCTACCATTACATGATAACAGTATGTCTAAAGTCTAATAAAAAAAAAAAAAGTCTAGAGGTAATGGATAAACGCAAGTCATTTTCATTCACCTCAAAGGAATCTTGTCATTTTGATGCTGAAGTACAATGACAACATCATTGCTTGTCCACACCAAACTTTCATCTTCCATCATAAGGTTTGGGTCCACATCTGCCAATGATAGCACAAAACTGCAATATAAAACTGATTGCATTCAGAAATTTCAATATTAAATTGCTTGACAAACAAATTACATCATGAATACCAGCCAAATAAATATCAGTGAGGTCTAAAAAAAGCCTGCCTGAAAAAACCGCAACAATAATAAAGCATTTCATTTAAGAAATGCCACATAATCTAACAATTACAAGTATTTGATGCAGATGATCCTAACTAAGCTGACTTAGAGAGACATAGAAAGAGATCAACAGGTGAAAAAAAAAAA